AGGTACATGCCCTTGACTGGAATCTAACCTCGGACCCTTCATTTCAAGGGCTAATGCTCTATCCACTGAGCAAAACAGGCTGCAGCTTAATTCATTTACTTTTAATCTATATGTGTCTTTATATTTAAAGTGGGTTTTGTTTTTGATCCACCCTCATGATCTGTCTTTTAATTGGTGCATTTATGCCACTGACTTTCAGAGTGCTTACTGATAGAGTGACTGCCATATCTGGTGGCTTCTGGGGCTTCCAGGGTGGCAGGCAGGCGACTTCTGGAGTCGTCCACGGGGGCCTGGATGGTGGCTTGCGCTGGCGGCTCATGTGGTCCTGCCCTGCTGGCAGTATTCAAATTTGCCGCCATCTTTGTTGGTGGCTAATTTGAATATCTCGCTGATTAGCCAATGGGAGGTGTAGCAAAGGTATGGTCAATTACCGTGTTTGGGTATTATTAGATAGGATAGGACTAGAGGCCCCATGGATGAAATTCGTGCTGGGGGTGTGTGTCCTTCAGCCTGGCCTGTGCCCTCTTGCAATCCGGGACCCCTTGGGTCGGGTCCCTAGGCCTGGCCAGCAATCAGGACCTTTCAGTACTTTCCTTCCCTGGCTGCTGGGCTGCTGGCAGCTGGCCCTACCCCTGCCGCTGCCATTGCTTGCTGTGCTGCGCTGCCCTCCTCCCCCGCCACTTGTTGCCTCCCTCTGCGGGTGACAGGCATGGGTTGCAATGGCTTGGCTGGCCTGGCCTCTCTCTTTGGAGCGACCGTGTAGGCCCACCCCCACCTTACCCCCCATCAATCGTCCCGCCGGCCGGGGGCTGGGGCCTCCCTCTGCAGGGTGATTGTGGGGCAATGGTGGGGTCCCCAAACCAATTGCATTGCACCTGCCTTGGCTGGCCTGGTGCCAGTGCATGTCATAGCGTGGTTGTCCGGAAGGTTGTCTGGACGGTCATTCTGCTGTTTGTTCATTCAGTCGATTTGCATATTATGCTTTTATTATTATAGATTATCCCATGTTTTCCTCAAGAACACTTTTTCCTAAAATGAAAATGCCTTTGTTGCAATTTACGTAAATAATGCAGAAAAAATAAAATTAATTCAAAATTCTACCCCAAGAGTAAAAAAAAACAAAACCTGCTATGGTTTTAAGTATATCCCCCTTCAGACATCTATACATGCACACATTTTCTTTGTTCTGTTTTCTCTCCATTTATTTTACTGTTTTAGGTATATACATTTCAGAGAGGAAGCGAGAAAGAAACATCTATGATGAGATAGAATCATGGATCGGCAGCCTCCTGCAAACCCCCCACTGGGGATGGAGCCCACTACCCCAGCATATGCCCTGGAAACAAACTGTGATCTCCTAGTTCACAGGTCAATGCTCAACCACTGAGCTACACCGGACAGGCTAGGTTTCTGATATGGATGCAAAACATGTAAATTTTCAGCTTTTATTCCTAATATGTGCATAAATGAGTGCACATTTTTCACCATACGTTTTGGTATGTACTGTTATCATTTACTTCAAATTATTTTCTAACTTGAATTGTGATGTATTTTGGGGTTATTTAGAAGTGTATTTGATAAATCTTAAATATTAGGAGTTTCTAGGTGCCTTCTGTTCCTGCTTTGTAGATTAACTGCAATGACAACAAGAAACGTACTGTATATAATTTCATTTCTGTGAAGTTTGTTGAAACTTGCTTCATAGCACTGCGTGGTCTGATCAACTATAATTGAAGTGTGCCCCTCTGCTGCCACCTCGTGTGCACTTTGGAAAAACACCTTCGTGCCTTTCAGCAAGTAAGGTTGTTGGGTACAGTGGGTCTCAGAACCTTGACTACAGTTTGCTGCTCAGGTTGTTGAAGTTTTTACATCTTTACTGGGGTCTTTGTGGGGGGCTATTGGTTCTGAAAGAGGTATGCTCTGTCTCAGAATGAGAGAGGTGTGTTATATGTATTATGGTTATAAATTATTATGATTATAGAATTGTCTAGTTTCCCTTGTAGCTCTCTTCTCTGTACTTTGATTCCATGTTATGAAGTGCTTGGGAATTTGGATCTTCCTGGTAAAATGAAGTTATTGATCCGAAGTGATCTTCCTTAGTTATAGTTAAGCTTTTGCCTTTAGGACTTGTGTGTTATTGTATAATTTTTATTGGGTTTATGTTTGTTTAATATATCTTTTTCCATTCTTTCACTTTTGATCTCTTTGTACCCTTATGTTTTAGGTAGCTTTTAGTTTTTATAGTAGTTATGAGTGAAATGAGTTGCTTCTGTTTCAACATTTTTTTTCCATTCAGTTGTTCCAACACTGTTTTCCATTGCTCTAAGGAGATGTTGTTATCACACCAAATTTCCATATGTATTTTAGTTTATTACTTGGCTTTGCATTCTGTTCCATCAACTTTTCTATTCATAGGACATTACCCAAGTTTTTAAATTACTGTAGCTTTATAACACAATATATTTATCTATCTGGTCAGGGTAGCTGTTATTCATTCATTTGCTTTTTCAGATGTTTCCTTTATTATTTTCAAATATATTTGTATTGATTTCATGGAGGAAGGGAGAGGGAACGAGAGAGAGAAATATCCATGATGAGAGACGATTATGGATCAGCTGCCTCCTGCATACCCCCTACTGGGGATCGAGCACACAACCTTGGCATGTGTCCTGACTGGGAATCGAACATAATTTCCTGGTTCATGGGTCAATGCCCACCACTGAGTCATACTGGCCAGGCTACCAGGAGTTTCTTGATACTCATATCTTACCCCTTCTTGCCATCCTATAGTTTTTGAGATCACCTAACAGAAATTAACATACCACATATCCTGCACTCTTCCTAAATATCACCCATTTCACCTCCACAGTCTAAGACTCTGGTTCCCCATTTTCCAACATTTCCTCCTTGTAATATTGCCTTCTTGTCTTTGGCATTCATTTGTATGTGAGTTTTCCTTGGGCTTGTATTAGATGTAGTGCATCTCTTGTCAATTTGATCATGTTAATTTGGTTATTAGCCCAGCTGTTAGAATGTACGAGGTATGAGGCAAATAATTGCTTTTTAAATCTCCCACAGTTTTGAAGAGCCGGCCTTGTGTAATTATCGGCTGGGACACAGCTAACTTCTGACACTGCTGAAGCCAAGAGATCAATGACACCTGCCAGCAAAGGTAAGCAGTATCATTACTTTTCCATTCTGTTAACCTTATGTGTGTGACACTGCAGGGTTTGGTAGGATTTTGAAAATCTGGAATTATTTTTTTCTCTTATACATTGACATTGGCATGAAAAAAACGTATTTGTGAAACTAGCTGCTTGGACTTAGAGTGACATGGGTTCACTTTATTGAATCACGGGTTTTTGTGCAACATGAGGATCTGGTTCAGTTCATGCATTTGGCAACTGAGGTCTGGTGTGTGTGTCCAGCTCTGGGTTGTGGCTAATGTGTCTTAGTCATAGATCTCTGCTATATGTCCAGGGTCTGTGGTTTTGGGTCAAATATATATTCAAGTGTGTGTCTGGGGTTTTGGGTGTCTTTGGGTGTGGCTTTGTGTCCTGGGTTCTTGTGTGGGGTCCGAGTGCAACTATAGATTCAGATGCCGGTGTGTGGAATCTCTTCTTAAGAATCCTCTGTCAGTCTTTGGTATCAGTTTCTGGCTTTTGTGCTGCATAGCATGTTTGAGTCGGGGGAATTGTTTGAGTTTGAGTGCCAGGGTTAGGGCATCCAGGTTTTGGTGTGTGATTCTCTATAGGGTCCAGGTTCTGAAGTGCAGGGTGTGTGTCTGGGGTCCTGATTATGGCTATGGCATCTAGTGTCTGTCCACTGATGGTCATTGCGTTGAATTCAACACTAGTAAGAGTTCCCAAGTTTATCGAGTTGTGGCTGGTTATGAAAAAGCTAGGAAAAGTTCTTGGCAAGTGGAATGGAAAATCTGAGACTCTAACAGGGCCTAGTAATTTATAGGCACAACTAATAAATCACAAAAACGTATCTTCCCTAACCTAGGATGCTTAGAAGCAAATGGGTTACACGCTCCAGACCATGTCTGGGCAGATCCACCTTGGTTCAGATCCCTTTTCAGTGACATTTTTTAAGATGAAACTGATCAGAGAATGACTCTTATCACTGTTTATGCTCTTTGTAATGCATCAGCATATCAAAGGACAGACTTGGAGAGTTGATAAATATTGTATTGAGATATTCCATTGAGACTTCCCCTAAAGTTGTCACCTTTAAAAACCAGGTAAAACCTTGCCCTGGTCAGTTTGACTCAGTGGATAGAGCATCAGCTTGTGGACTGAAGGGTCCCGGGTTTGATTCCGGTCAAGGGCACGTACCTCGGTTGCAGGCTCCTCCCTGGCCCGGGCCCTGGTCGGGGCTTGTGCAGGAGGCAACCAATCAATGTGTTTCTCTCACATCGATATTTCTCTCTGTTTTTCCCTCTCTCTTCCATTCTCTCTAAAAAGCAATGAAAAAATATCCTTGGGTGAGGATTAAAAAACAAAAGAAAACAAAACCAAAGCAGGTAAAACCTTTGCCCTACCCATTGTGACTAACTTGGTTGAGCATCGTCCCATGCATCCAAAGGTCACCTGTTCAATTCCAGGTCTGGATACATGCCCAAGTTGTGGGTTCAACAAAAGGCAACTGATGAATCTCACCGTTTGTGATTGACATACCTCTCACATGGATGTTTCTCTCTTTTTCCCTCTGTTTTCCTATCTCTGAAATCAATAAAACTGTATTTAAAAACCCAAATAAATAAAACAGGTAAAACCCTTAAAACAAAGGTGTGCGTTGTTCCTCACTCCTGTGTCTTCCCTTCTCTTATTTCCTGCTTTTACTTTCTTTCTTCTAAGCTCTAAAGGTCCCTGTCCCTGTGAGACTTGCAACGGGGGAGCAGTGGGCAGTGGTACCTCATCCGGGCTAGCTCCCTGAACCTGTCTCCAAGGGTCCCTTGATCTTGTCTCTTCTATTTTAATCCCTGCCTTTGTTTCACTCTGTGGATGAAAACAGGCCACTTGCTAACCTGACAAGGTTAGAGGTTATGAGAACCCAGGCTATAAGGCGAGAGAGGAAAAATGGGTGCCTGGTTTTTAAATTTGGCTTTTCCATTTGAATTGTTTTCTGAGAGTTTGAACAAATGACTTTGCTGTGTAAATGAGAGCTGAACTAGTTCAGCTCCTAAGATAAGGGGCACATCCTCTCTCCAGCCTGAATTTCTCATGCTCTTAGGAAACTAAAAATCTTGGTGGAGGTGTCAGAGGTTATTCCTCATGACCTGTAAGGGCTTCACAGAGAACCTCCAACTCAGTTCTAATGAAGAAATTGACTCATCCAGGGACGCACATATAAAGGTTGGTCACCTAGTGCTCCCAGTCCTCATGGCTGCATTAGACAGCTGAGGAGAGAAACCGAGGCACAGAAGAGAGTTGAATACCACTCACGGGCTGAGAGCCTCGAAGAGCTCAACCTATAAGCTGCACACTTTGACCCACTCATAGCCGCCCTAGAGAATTTTCTCAGACTGCCAATGTTCAAAAAACCCCACTACAATTTACATGGGAAATTGTGCCTCCAAGACCGGAAACTCCCAGACCCCAGCCTTCAATAATACTCCTGATAGGAACCCTATTATTGGCAAGGACTTTACAGAAATAAGGTGATTTCACTAGAAATCTCATCTTAAAATGGCCATAATGCAAGGATCTTTGGGTGCCTAAATTAAAAAAAAAGTTAATACAAGTCCATGTAGGCAATAGTGGTTGCTTAATTTTTCATTATCATTGAAAATTTAGCTTTTCAAACACTAAAAATTCTCAGACATTAAATTACTGTAAATTAAAAAAATATAAAATATGGACATGCATCCCTGGCCATCATTGGTCAGTGGTGGTTAGAGCATCATCCTATGCACCAGAGGCTTGCAGGTTTGATTCACAGACAAGGGTACTTACCTGGGTTGCAGGTCTGATCCCATCCCCAGTTAGGGCATGTGTGGGAGGCAACCATTAGATGTGTCTCTGTCACGTTGATGTTTCCCTCTCTTTTGCCTCTTTCTCTCTCTTCTCCCCTTCCTCACT